CAGGCCAAAACCTGTTTGGAATAGTGAGTTTGCTGAATAGATCCTCTCATGGAGACCAAGATACAGGATAAAACCAGACTGCTTCCAATGACAATGAAATCCTGAAAAGTGAAAAGATTAAATGGATTATCTGTGCCAGAAAAATGTACTAACCACATACTGTGGGGAAAAGGTAAACATGAATGACTTCTGCACATGAAAAGATGCTGCTGAATGAAAGTCAACAGTTCATCTGGCACACAGCCCAGGGAAAGAACCTATTCTTAAAGGGGTCCTATTATGTTTTTTCACTTTTTCAACTTTAGTTAGTCTGTAATGTTGCTGTTTGAACATAAAAAAAGATCTGCAAAGTTCAAAGTCCACTTCAAAAGGAGAGATTTTATTTAACAGAAATCATTTTTCAAAAACTACAACGAACGACTCGTTTGGACTACAACGCATATTTTCCGGGATTTGTGATATCACAAATATCGACGAATGGGACGAGACCTGGTTGAGCTGCACTAGAGAAGGCAACGAGTGTTATCACTATGTCGGAGACACGCTAGCTTTCTCAAGGCAGACGAACTTAGAGTGGTTACAATCATCCGGGTTTAAATCACGCTCAAATTGATTTGATTTTGACGCAATATTTACACTGAAGCTCACAGGTGGCTATGGTAAGGGGCATGACATTTCCCGAACAGGCGCCGCGTGCTGCCAATCACAACACACACTGGCCCAGCTAACCAATCACAGCACATTTCGTATTTCAGAAGGCGGGCCTTCATTTGATACAGGAACTATTCGAGCCGTTCATGCCAGACTGGGGCGAGAGGTGTTGTAATAATCTAAAATATTTGAAAAATAATGTGTTTTTCGAACAACCTAGTATGAGAGCCTGTTCTAGTACACCCCCAAAACAAAATCAAGACTTTGTAAAAGAGCATAATAGGACCCCTTTAAACATTGTGGTATCTGTGTTTGACACACCTTTCAACCTTCCGGTTGGTTTTTACCACTCAACAGACTTGGGTTTGTGGAATAAATTCCTAGCCCACCTGCAAATATATGGTGATACTGGAATTGTATACTGCCTGCAGACTGATAAGGGTCGGCATAATGTCCAAGACGACTATAGTATTGGATTCCAAAACAAAGAAATTAATCACTTATTGCACGTTCCAATAAAACGGTAAAATCATTACATGAAAGCAATTGAGATATAGTGGCAAGAATAAGTTTGTGAACCCTTTGAAAATATCTAGATTTCTGTGCTAACTCATGAAACGTGGTGTGGTTTTCACCTAAGTCAGTAATAGAGGATGTATGTATTTGAAGGTTGTGTTCTGTGTTTATTCTCATGTGAGTATTAAGTGGGCTTAGTGATGCCCAGTTGTGGACTGTGATTGGTGACTCAAGAGAACTAGTATGTTTACCATTCATTTTCCAATATGAGTAAAACGGGAAAAGATTGAAAGGTTATTACTAGAGTTGGGGTATTTGGACTCAGACTGCAAGTATGAACTCGGAAGTACTCGGTGGACTTATCCTCAAACTTGACATAACATTTTGAACTCAGAAATTTCTCAGAGTACAGTTGAATCCACGTCATGTATAACATGAAAGTAACAACATAAAATTAAAAGTACAAGACATTAATAAACGTCTACCATTCAAACTCAGTGATTAAGAATGATACGATGACTGATATGAAGGGACTCAAAGGGACACATTTTCCTGTCCTTGTTTTCCCATTTGCCTCCTATCACCATTAAAATAAACGTAGAGATTACGATGAAATATTGCCAAACATTCCTGTCAAAAAAAAAAAACCCTGGCTCTCTCCATATTTTTTGTGGTCTTTATCATCTGACCTCTGGCTGTTTCCCAGGATTCCTGGAGGACTTATCCCTTTTGATTTTGTTTAATGTCATTGTCTGTTTTGTATGGTCCAAGGTAGCTCTTCTTTGGCTTTCTTTCTTTTTGAAAATATCTGGTTTTAAGGGGTTTTGAGAGTATGTATTCACATTTACAAAAAAGCAGCATCACGCTGGGAGAGTTGGGATTAAATACAGGCATAATTAAGGTACAATGGAGGCAGGGCTTTTTCTGCAATTCATGGGCTTTTTGGCGCCTTCTCATGAAATGAAACCCAGAAAAACAATTCATTAGTAAGGCAAATCAGTACTATAAAATCATGGCATGAATGCATTTGAGATACAGTGGCAAGAATACGTTTGTGAACCCTTTGAAAATATCTATATTTCTGTGCTGATTACTCATGAAATGTGGCATGATTTTCACCTAAGCCACAATTATAGACAAACACAATCGGGCTCATTCATAACACAAAAAGTTCTACTTTAAAGTAGAATAAAGTGAACCTTTGTGTTACAGCTTCTCCAAAAGCTAACCTAAAAGGTTTAGGAGATAAGAAAAGTGAGAGCTCATGAATCGGTGATAAGACATCCGGTCTACAAATTCTGGACTGTTGCTACAGTATAATGGATATCCTGAAAAATAACACTTCTGGGAAAATGGTTTATGGACAATGGAATCAAAGTTTTAGAAGTTGGCAAAAAGTGTTTTGGAAAAAAGTCACCACACCGGAGAGACCTAAAAATGGCTGTCCACCAACGTTTACCATCCAACCTGACAGAACTGGAGAGGATCTGCAAGGAGGAATGGCAGAGGATCCCCAAATCCAGGTGTGAAAAACTTGTTGCATCTTTCCCAAAAAGACTCATGGCTGTATTAGATCAAAAGGGTGCTTCTACTAAATACTGAGCAAAGGGTCTGAATACTTAGGACCATGTGATATTTCAGTTTTTCTTTTTTAATAAATCTGCAAAAATGTCAACAATTCTGTGTTTTTCTGTCAATATGGGGTGCTGTGTGTACATTAATGAGCAAAAAAAATTAACTTAAATGATTTTAGCAAATGGCTGCAATATAACAAAGAGTGAAAAATTTAAGGGGGTCTGAATTACTTTCCGTACCCACTGTATATATATTTTTTTTTTTTCAGAAATTAAATTTGAAGCAGAGGTACAATTGAAATCATTTACACAAAGTTTCAGTTCTCATCAAAAGCTTTTTTTTATACACTGCACGCAATGCTGTATGCTAAAATCGTGTTAGGAATTGTGTAGAGAAGATTCCAAAACTCTTTCTGATTGACTGTGGGAAAAAAAGAAATAAATAAACATGACCCATCTTGCACAATTACTGCAATGTTTTCCCCACACCAACTTGGCAGTGCAGTAGTGGTGTAAAGTTACATGCATGACCATCATAGTGCAGTCGTAAATCAAAACAAACTCTGTTAGCAAACTCTACCAGAGTCAGAATTAACCCCTTAAGCACTGGGGTTATTTAGGGGGTTTCCACCTGGATTTGACATACCCACATTTAAATGTTTACCCTACACACATGCAATAGAGCAAATGAAAAAAGGGTGTTATAGAAAACCCCTTAAAATACAAACTCAGATTGTAATTCTTCATACATAACATTATAAATGTTTCAAATATTACAATAAACACAAAAAAATAGGCGCTTGTTGATTTTTTTTTTCCAGAATTTGTTTTTGAAAGTCTGTTAGTCAGGTTCTATTTGCTTTATCTGCAACTAATATTGTTTGATTGTTTATTTGTTTATTATTTGATTATTTGCAGAAGGTTGTGGGTTCGAGTCTCAGGTCCGGCAGGAATTGTCGGTGGGGGGAGTGAATGACCGGCGCTCTTTCAATACCACAACTGAGGTGAGACCCTTGAGCAAGGCACTGAACCCCCAACTGCTCCCCGGGCGCTGCAGCAAAAATGGCTGCCCACTGCTCCGTGTGTGTGTTCATTACTGTGTATGTGCACTTGGATGGGTTAAAAGCAGAGCACAAATTCCGAGTATGGGTCACCATACTCACACGTCACTTCACTTTTGAATTATAACTGAAGGGAGTAAAATTGTAATTTTGTGTGTGTGTGTGTGTGCGCGCGCGTGTCTACACAAATGTCCTTTTGAGTTTCCTTTGCAAAAACGGGTTTTATAAAATACATTACCCCCAGAATCCTATTTTACTATGTACCATTGCACTTTTCTTGATTATTGATTGAATTTGATTGATATTGATTTTTCTAAGTAGTAATATACAAAATGGCATAAGCCAGTCATTGACGTCTCACCATTAAGTACTTTAGATGACAACCCCCATTAGAAAGACAACATCTAGATCAAGACCCAGTAAATCTCTCTTTATTATATATTTATATTGTATTCATTCAACATGCATCACTATTTGGAACAAGCACAGAACACAAAGACAAAAGTGGGAAGGTGCTGACTGAGCGGATATGGATGTGAATAAGTACCACTGGAGAAAGAAAATCAGTATTTTGAATATGAACAGATCACAGTTAACCACATACTGTACATCATAACCGCTCCTAATACCATAAATGCCTCATTTGGAATCAAACTGATATCAATCCAAGACCACCATATAAACATACAAGCATGATGAGCGAGACGACACACAAAGAAGCAAAGCCTAAATGTTTAGTGTCTTCATGATCACACATGCACGCACACACACACACACACAAACTCAGATCCAGCTCCAACACAAAAGCTTTTCAGTTTGTTGTCTTCACTTGGAGGGAAAGAAAGACTTCAGAAAAATCGAGCAGTCACAGGACCATAAAGGAAATAAAATCAGTTACTTAAAAAAAAAGCCTTATGCAGGATAGTGTTCAAATGAAACAACATACACTAGGGCCTAAAAAACAATAATACATATTTATGCACAGTAACATGGACAGACCTAGATGTGACAGACCTAGGGGGGGGGGGGGGGGGGGACAAAA